TTAATAAACATGATATTGCATATTATCACATCGGTGTGCATTTTTTCACACATCTTAAATTTAGTTTGTTATGACCAGTTTCAACTTGAATAAAAAAAATAACTTAATTGACCGGAATATATAAAAAATTATACTTTTATATCATATATATATTATGTATTTCGACAAACAATAATGCAAACTATTTAGTAAAGAATATAAATACTAAATATATTTTTATTATATAAATAAATTAATAAGTGAACACAATAATGTTGATTAAAAATACACATTATTAAAATATTCAAAAATTATTCGCAAAAAAAGAATAAATATTCAAAAATTGAATTGCACATAAAAAATACCCGCTCAATCGATTGCACAATAATACTAGACCAATTGCACATTATTATCTATGACACATTGTTAATTTTGGTCCTTCATATATTATGTATTCACCATAAAAACTAATGTAAGAATATTAAATAAGATAATTCAACTATTAAATAATTTTTTATAATATAAAATATAAATATTTATAATAATGATGTTAATTTGGTTAACCAACCGAATAAACCATGTATTTCAGGTCAATTTTAAATTGGTTGGGCAAAAGTTCAGTTTGTACAGACGCACAATAGGGACCGAAACACTGCACATCATTGTTGGCAAAATTTCAAAAATGGTCCATTATGTTGACCATTTTTCGAAAAAGGTTCATCATATAGGGTGTCATCAATAATGGTCCACTAAACTGAAAAAGGAGGAGAGGATCATTTTTCTTAGGCCATCATACGATCGAGGATTAGATCAATTTTCTCGTTGAATACGTTCTCTTCTTCTCGAGCTGTTATAAAGGTAAGAATCCGGTCGAGCTTCTCATTATGCTCAGAGGATCGCTCTTGAAATTCATAGGTCTGCTCAACCGGTGTCAAATTCCATTGCTTCTCGTAAGGATAAGATTGGCCGTAGTACCTTGAAATGTAACTCGGCCCATTATTCCAGTAAAGAGTGTGCGGGGAGGAGAGAACACTATTGGCGTTCATATTCCCTGCACACCATAACAGAACGACCATGCGAAGCTACGAAAAGGAAGACAAAAAATAAAAACAAAGAGAAAAACAAAGGTGCATAGAAAGAACACAGACACAGAAAACATGAAACAAAGAGAAACACAAAAAATAAAATCAACACCAAAACTAAATATCATACTTGCCTTCCCTGACAACGACGTCAAATTTGTTGTAGCAAATTATTTTTTTACCAAGTACTGAATCAAAGGAATCGTTCCCCGAGTCGATCTCTCGAGGAAAGTGGTTCAAAATCTAGGAATGATGTTGATAACACATAAAAAAAATAAAGCCTAGACACTCTAATCAAGATAGTGGGTTTTGATTATCAACTACGAAAGAAAATTCAAACAATACAAAATTGAATTTAAAAAGCAAAGACGAAGATCAAACGATGATAAGAAGCTAAGGAGTCGGGGAGGATGATTCTCAAAACAATGCAAATAGCAAGCTATAATCATTTAGTTAAATGATTCGAACAACCTAGTGTCTAGAGATTAATCCTCAATAACTCTTCGTAACAAGAGGGTATCATAGACAGTAAATCATGCAAATCACACAACACATAGACAATATGTTTCCGAACAAGCCTATTTCATACGAGCCTAGATTGATCAACTCCTCCCCTTTCGGTTCTAAGAGTCGATTAAATTATCCTAGACGATTGTTAATCAACTAGTTCGATAGATTTAAAAAACATCACACAAGAACGAATCATATTCAATTGGAAATCAATTGCAAATCAAAGTGTCACTTTTCGACAATATTCAACATTCAATGCACGATAATTATGAACCCTAGGTAAGAACAACTCGCATAAGTTGAACGACCAACAAGCATGACAATCACAATCAAATTCTAAACATCATCATCTTCCCTTATCCCTAGCGAACGAATTAGTTACTCATATAGAACTCAACACAATTCATCTCAAGAACCCAAGCATTCATATTCAAGGATTAATTGAAAATGAAAACTTACGATTAATAGAGACCAAGAGTGGAATCCATAACAAGCTTCATCCCAGAAAATAAAGAAGAAAAGTTGAGCAAAAACAACGATCAAAATCCAAGTTTAAGAGTAAAATAAAGTGAAAAAAACAATATTGAGAATCATTCTATTAAGTCTGGGGGTCATCTCAATATGTAGGGCTCCAAAAATCGAGCAAAACACGAAAAAATGAAAAAAAAAATAAAAAATATGGTCGAACGGGTCACGATTCACGTGTCGGGAGTTGGCAAGTCGCTGGGGCGCGTTGGAGGCTCTGTTAAAATTGCGAGTCGCGACTTTGGCTCTGTTAAAGTCACGAGTCGCGACTTTGGCTGCACTGCATGACTTTACGTTTCGGGCTCATTTGCGCTTGTCTGAACTCGGAATTGAGTTTTGTTTTTTGTTACGCGTCGCGAACGAACTGTTCTATTCAGTTATATTCTGGAAACCGATTTTTACTATTGAGAAAATTCTCCCGAAGCTCCTGACCTACACCATATACGACGAAACACGAAGAAAACTGAAAAAACAAACGAAAAACACCTAGAGACTTAAAATGAAGGAAAACACATAATAAAACATGACACAGACTAAAATAGAAAGAAATGATCTAAAACGGTGGAAAAAAAAGTAAAATAAATATATAAAACGCAATAAAAATTGGACAAACATGGTTCACGAACGTTGTACTAGTTCATGATTAATAGAGACGGTAGACCAAGTATTTTCTCGATGTCACCTCATTGGCAAAGTAGGAGACTATGTATGCTTTTGTTCGGAATATTTGGAGTGTGTTGAATATTTAGTCTATGTCAAAGATTTGATATATGTTGAACTATTTGTGTTTGCTATTATTGATAGCCTTTTGGAAAATGTTAAACTCTGTTGATATTATTGAACTATTTGTTCTAGCTAGTAAATTTCTTTTATTATTTTTTATTTTTTGTATTGATGGTAAATTTTGTTTCAATTAAATAATTGCAAAAAAAGATAAAAAAAAATGACCATTTCAATACTTATTACATGGGTTGTTCAAGTACGATAACAAAATTAAATTTTTTATATTGTCTCAAAATACAAGACATAGAAATATGATTTTCTCTATTGGGTTCCAAATTTTAAGGTACATAACAAGATAGTTTTTAATATAAGGTATATATGTTTACCCGATATATAAATGCATGTTTTCTATATCGGGTATTTCATAATCGAGCTTTTCAGATGTTTGTTCTATATATGAACTTGCGCAATCCGATGTAGACTAATCATTTTACATGTTGTGTGACCCGATATAGAAAGGTTATACTTACTATATCGACTGAAATTATATCGACGTTGGATCCAAGATAAAACGTCATTTTCACCCTATATAAAAAGTGTTTTATCCACCCCATTCATCCAACAAGTGTATATAGACAATTTCATCAAATATCATTAAATTATCTCATAGGCTCCCCATCATAATGTTGGGCATGTACAGAAGATCTCACTTGTGTATGGACATGAAACAAAAGAGAATGAAAAAGAAAGAGACAACAAAACAATCCACCAAAATACACAAACACCATGAATAAAGAACAAAAACTTGTAATGGGAGAAGGTTTATAATCACTTGAAGCATTCATAAAATCAATCACAGCTTGGTTCCCATCAGTTCACTAACTGTAAGATAGAGTTCCTCTAGTTTTCTTGATTGTTCACTACCTCAGCACTAACAGTCAAAAAAATAAATAAAAATAAGATAAAATAAAAATGGAGCCATTTATCCAACTCCAAAAGAATCAAACCATGTGTTGTGATGTTAAACTGAACTCCAACATGAGGAAATATCAGCATTTTATGTCGATCACGGTCAAGAATTCTTCTTCGGGGGTCAATGTTCATCACTATCGCCAAAGTTGAGCCTTCTTTTAGAGCCACATTTGGACGTGATGGTTGAATCATTATTAGCTAATAAAGAACTTGGAATTACAGCCGACTTGGGGGTCTTTAGCATCACAATCTCTTGGAGTAGACGATAACAAGAGAACGCGAGGTCCTGTTAAAAGAATGACATTAATTAAAACAATAGATAACAAGTTAATAGTAAGTCATGTTTTTTAGCTGCTTTAAGTACTCTTCAATATCCTCTGCATGATCGTTATTTATGTTTGTAATAACGACATTTTTTCATACACGCGAGCATGGATTCTAAATATCCGATTCGAAGGAGAATTACTCACTTTCTCGGGTGAACCCCATGAAGGGATCGAATTTATCTTATCCTCCAAAACTGCACTTTCCAAGTTATGATCATATGCTGTTAATACTGATGCAGCCGCAATTATTGATGGCCGATTTTCGGCTGCATTAATCTCTGCATTAAGAAAAATCTGATTATGTTAAGACACAAATATAGCTAAAGTGAGAGAGACATTATTATAAATTTTTTTTATTAATCTCTGCTAATTACCTTCCACAATTGCCATGACCAACTCTGCAGCTCGAGTCGCAATCTCGTGTAGCCTAGATTTTTCGGTGCAGAATTTGGCAGTAAAATAGTTAAGATATGCAAAAGGAGTTAAAACACCCATTTTCCATTCGAGTTCGTGCAAAACGCAGAGTTCCATTTTCTGAATCGCGATTCCTTGAAAATCGTATCCTTCGACACGATATTCGATTAAGGGTCGTGCTTTACTTTCCTCCATTTTTGCGGCCAGCGATAAACAAGCTACCGACAATATTCTATTAGTCCACGTCGTTTTTCCATCCTAGTTCATGATAAAATCCATTATAATAAGAATCTGTTTAGTTCATAAAAAGTGGAAAATTACAATTCTTGAATTTTTACACTTACTGAAAAGCATGTTTTAGCCAAGAATTGATCGAAATAAATTAATGCTAGATAGGCTGTACGATAGTGATATCCAAACAGAGCTCTTGTCTGCAAATAAATACAAGCCCATAAATATTAATGGTCTTAACAAAAAAAAAAAAAAACATTTATTTAAAATAAAAAATAAGGGAGATTCTACGGTCCCGTTACCGAACCATTCCATCAGGGTTTATAACCGTTAGATCAACTATCCACGACCGTTACAAATCGCGACGAAATGGTTATGTAACGGGATTGTAGTAGATAAAAGTTGAAAAAAGACAAACTTGAAGAATCCATTTGACGGCTTCCAAACGGGCACTTTCGGGCCATCTTTCGACTCGAGTGGCTCGAAAACTAGTCTCTTTTCGAAACGAACTTTCGATGAACTCGCAGTCGGGCTCTGTAATAGTAATGGAATCAAAGGGATTATCGTTTTTGTCGAATAAATTCGAATTCAAAGAGGAAATATCCTCGTCGCAGAGTAGATTTAGCAATGGTACTCCAGATTCCATTATCTGTTTATTTTTTTTTATTTTTATTATTATTATTTTATGAGCTCTGTTCAAGAATGTTTTGGGGAGCCCTGAAGAAGATTGAGTCTATAAATTGAGGGAAAAAAAATAAAAAAAAAATAAAAAAAAGGAAGAATAATTTGTAGAAAAGATTTAGTAATAGTTTGAGAAGGAGATTTGAGGAAATCTAGAATAGAGTCTGGAAAGGAACAAAGACACTGGTAATTTGGTTGGCGCCAAATTTCGCGGATGAGATATAGAATGCGTGCCATTTATTTCGTAAGATTTTTTTTTTCAAAAAAAAAAATAAAATTACGTAATTATTATTATTATTA